CTGTTTAACCCCTCTGTAATGCAGCTAAACCTGTGTCACCGAGACATCTCCGGTACATTTGTCAGTCAAGAAGTCTCAGATGCTTTATCCATTTTTAATTATCTTGTTTATAGTTAATATAAATCTTTAATATATTTTCTAATATATAATTTGCTTTTTCTATTTAGCTATCAGTTTACAAATATACTATTTCTTTTATTTTTTTATAAAAAAATATTATCAAATTGATGATATTTTATTGTAAGATAATAGCCAGACAAATTATTTCAAATTATGATTAATTTGATATGATAGTTACCTAAAAGTATTTAAATAATAAAGGTTATCTTACAAATATTAACTTTAGTTATATGTAACTCATTAATGAAATAATTACAGAACATCAAGCTTAAATTTTAAGCTTAATATTTTGTAAAAACTCTTACAAACTAATCTTAATAAAGGATCAGTAATAAGGCCATCAAAGTAAAAATATATATATATTTGTAATATAGCTATATTCTATAAAAATTAATTAAATTTAAAAATTAGATATAATATAATACAGTTAAACCTTCATAAATGCAACATGTATAGACCAGTCTAAAATATGCATTTAGAAAGATTTGCATTTAGAAGAAACCAATCAAATTGCAACTTTTAATATTTGATCTGCAGGTTTGTATAACAAACTTAAATACTAACTTCTGTGCACTTAAGGAGGTTAGTATGATATAAAAATCTTTTGAATAAACATGCATTTGCAGAATATAGAACATGCATTTAGCACTAATGATTTCATATAGCCAAAACAAAAACATGCATTTAGGAAGGTATTGTATTTATAGAGGTTGCATTTAAGGAGATTCAACTGTATAACCAAAAAAATTCAAACCAATATTTGTTTTGTTAAAAATTGTCAAAAGAAATCAGTTATAACTCAAAATTGAGTATATAAAGCTACTCTTTGGATTTTAACAAAAAATTTCTTGCTAAATTTTACTATAAAATATATCTTTTCACTGCATACTATTTTTACTTTACTCTAACTCTAACTAACAAATAAAGATTCTTTTAATTATAACAATAGTAACCTATAGTTACAAATATATTAATCCTATATTTAAAATAGATTTTTTAATTACTTAAATAAGCTTTGAACACTTGGATACTTGGATGTTGAACATGCCAAAAAAGATTTTAAATATCAAATTTGATAATGAAAAATGTCCTTATAAAGTAATAATGTTAGAATTTTATCTCTAATTGAAATATGTCATGGCTCACCTGAGTGTCCGTTATCGTACGATTTACTGCGGCTACATAGTAATGCGCCTTCTTGTAAAATTAAAAAGCACGTTAAGAGTTTCGACAATATTGGTTTAAAAGTTAGTAAAGATTAAATTTTTATAAAAACCCGGCCAATGATTTATTATGTGGCCCGCATTATGTTTGTAAATTAGTGAGGTAAACTAAACATTTTGCTTTTATAGAATTTAAAAATGTTAAATATTGCGGGAGAAATTAAAGGCGAAAAGGCGAAGTAAAATCGTAGGACGAAAATTGACCGATCATTTTCACGTGACGATCGACGTCAAATTAGCCTCCAAACCAAACGTTAAAAACCGCCTTAACCTCTAATATTAGTTGTTGGGGATGATGCTGAAACATGAATGATCGCGAAACATCTAACCCTAACCAATCAAATGCGTTTGTTTCATGTTTCAGCATCATCCCCCAACATAAACGAACTTAAAGTTTTTTGTCGATCACGTGACAGCTGCATTTTTGATGGGAAGATATCATTGAAAAAATGAAATTGCTATGTACCACAGCCCTATTAACCAGCATTAGCATAATTGACGTATTAAAGTTAGAATTAGTGAAATGGTGTGTAATCCTCTATGTCATTATGTTATTATCTCTTATTATTATCTTTACTATCGCTATAATAATCTACATCTCGATTTTTTTGGCGTTTTTTTACGTTACACCTGATCTCAATTTTTGCGCGCCGTCCCTATTCTATTATAAACATTTAACCTATACCCTATACCTATTACCGTGTAACATACATGCCTGAAAAGTATACGTCAGTTTTACTCGAAGTCGATTGTCTCTTTCGTCACAAATGTCGCCAATCATGGAGGAAATTCTTTCCGATTCCAACAGCGTTCTTACTTCAGACGAGCCATTGTCACCAACTCTACAGCCTCAACGAAGGTTAAAAGCCAAGCCGACCACTCAGCTTTCGTTTGACATTTCTTCTTCTGCTTACAGCTCTTCCTCCTCTGGATCGTCAATAAAGAGCTTTAACGCAGTTTCAAATAAAGTCGACACGGGTGCAGATTTTCTTTTGGGCCTAATAAGCAGATCTAATCCGGCTACGTCTTCTGAACGATCCACAATTTCCCCTTTTCATACCGTCAAAAATGGCAAGAGACCATATAGTAGTATTAGTCTGCCAAAAGAAGATCCTTCGGAGGAAGAAGAGTTAGACCAACCAGATATTCGTATGAGTAGGCTTGTACTTTGTTTTGTTCGAAACTTGCTCTAATACTACAATTGAGAGTGTTAATACATTATCTTAAAACTTTCATCAAGACTCTGATGTTCATTTGGATCATAATGAATCCATAGTTTCAAGAAATGATATCTCCGCAATTCCAGACGACAAAGAATATTCAGGCTACCGGCGCAAGTATGGAAATGAAGGTCGAAGGTGTTTGCTAAAAAAATCTAGGCATACAATGTTGCAAATTTGGTAAATCCTTAGCTGATCAGCTTTATTAATCTATAAAGACCCCCAGTCTATGACTTGGTCGCGACATAGGAAACACTTTTTCATTCTAAGCAGTGCTGGAAAACCAATTTACACTCGGTACGAATCACAGAAGGTTCTCAATTTGTATTTGTCAATTTAATATAAATCCTATCTCTATTTTTTTCAAAGATATGGTGACGAATCACGTATCTCGAGTTATATGGGCGTAATTCAGGCTATCGTTTCATTCTTTGCTGATGCTGATGACACAATAAGGTCTTTTGCTGAATCAAAAATTGACCATATTCTTTATTCGTTATTTACGATTTAACATATTATCATGTAGATGCATAAACGCTGGTCAACATAAATTAGTGTTCTTGCTCAAAGGGCCTTTATATCTTGTTGCTGTTTCACGAACAAACGAATCCGAAATGCAGGTATAGAATGAATTAAATTTTAATTTTCTATTTGTATAATATTATCAATTTAAAAAACATTGGACTTTTTTCGAATAGCTTAGGGATCAATTGAATTACTTATATAATCAGATCGTAAGCGTGTTGACCTCGACACAATTGACAAAGATTTTTGAACACCGAGTTAATTTTGATCTGCGTCGATTGCTTGGAGGTAGATGTATAATACGTAAAATTTTTTTGGTTTAATTTTCCTTTTCTAATTAAAACACTTTAGGCACCGAACCGTTTTTGGATAATCTTGCTTCTACAATGGGTGATGATCCGGGTTTTATGCTTAGTTCAATCCAGTGTGTAAAACTGTGCAAAGATTTACGTGATAAAGTAGGAGGATTAATGCAATTAATAAAACCCAAGGTAATTGCCACGTGCTTTACATATTCACTCAGCTTAAATACTGAATTCGGTATATGTTTTGTTACAGGAACTCTTGTATGCCATGTTGATAACGAATAATAAGTTAATAACACTGCTTAGACCAAAGAAGCATAGCCTTCATCCAGCAGGTGAGTAAAGAATCTGATTTTATATAAATCCGATGAATAATCATTATTATGACGGCTATATTATGCTTATTAGATCTTCACTTGGTATTCTACATGCTTACCTCCTTTAGAAGGCTCTTTGCCTCAGAAAACTCGAAAAATTTATCTTTATCCGGCGATATAAACAGCAAGCATACGTTTGTGGCAATATAGCATACGTAAGCATGAAGAAAACCTTTATTATTAAATTTTGGAAGACAGATGGGTGTCCATGACTCGACAGATCGAAAAGTCGAAGATCCGTTAACCATGTTGAATACCAAGTGAAGATCTAATAAGCATAATATAGCCGTCATAATAATGATTATTCATCGGATTTATATAAAATCAGATTCTTTACTCACCTGCTGGATGAAGGCTATGCTTCTTTGGTCTAAGCAGTGTTATTAACTTATTATTCGTTATCAACATGGCATACAAGAGTTCCTGTAACAAAACATATACCGAATTCAGTATTTAAGCTGAGTGAATATGTAAAGCACGTGGCAATTACCTTGGGTTTTATTAATTGCATTAATCCTCCTACTTTATCACGTAAATCTTTGCACAGTTTTACACACTGGATTGAACTAAGCATAAAACCCGGATCATCACCCATTGTAGAAGCAAGATTATCCAAAAACGGTTCGGTGCCTAAAGTGTTTTAATTAGAAAAGGAAAATTAAACCAAAAAAATTTTACGTATTATACATCTACCTCCAAGCAATCGACGCAGATCAAAATTAACTCGGTGTTCAAAAATCTTTGTCAATTGTGTCGAGGTCAACACGCTTACGATCTGATTATATAAGTAATTCAATTGATCCCTAAGCTATTCGAAAAAAGTCCAATGTTTTTTAAATTGATAATATTATACAAATAGAAAATTAAAATTTAATTCATTCTATACCTGCATTTCGGATTCGTTTGTTCGTGAAACAGCAACAAGATATAAAGGCCCTTTGAGCAAGAACACTAATTTATGTTGACCAGCGTTTATGCATCTACATGATAATATGTTAAATCGTAAATAACGAATAAAGAATATGGTCAATTTTTGATTCAGCAAAAGACCTTATTGTGTCATCAGCATCAGCAAAGAATGAAACGATAGCCTGAATTACGCCCATATAACTCGAGATACGTGATTCGTCACCATATCTTTGAAAAAAATAGAGATAGGATTTATATTAAATTGACAAATACAAATTGAGAACCTTCTGTGATTCGTACCGAGTGTAAATTGGTTTTCCAGCACTGCTTAGAATGAAAAAGTGTTTCCTATGTCGCGACCAAGTCATAGACTGGGGGTCTTTATAGATTAATAAAGCTGATCAGCTAAGGATTTACCAAATTTGCAACATTGTATGCCTAGATTTTTTTAGCAAACACCTTCGACCTTCATTTCCATACTTGCGCCGGTAGCCTGAATATTCTTTGTCGTCTGGAATTGCGGAGATATCATTTCTTGAAACTATGGATTCATTATGATCCAAATGAACATCAGAGTCTTGATGAAAGTTTTAAGATAATGTATTAACACTCTCAATTGTAGTATTAGAGCAAGTTTCGAACAAAACAAAGTACAAGCCTACTCATACGAATATCTGGTTGGTCTAACTCTTCTTCCTCCGAAGGATCTTCTTTTGGCAGACTAATACTACTATATGGTCTCTTGCCATTTTTGACGGTATGAAAAGGGGAAATTGTGGATCGTTCAGAAGACGTAGCCGGATTAGATCTGCTTATTAGGCCCAAAAGAAAATCTGCACCCGTGTCGACTTTATTTGAAACTGCGTTAAAGCTCTTTATTGACGATCCAGAGGAGGAAGAGCTGTAAGCAGAAGAAGAAATGTCAAACGAAAGCTGAGTGGTCGGCTTGGCTTTTAACCTTCGTTGAGGCTGTAGAGTTGGTGACAATGGCTCGTCTGAAGTAAGAACGCTGTTGGAATCGGAAAGAATTTCCTCCATGATTGGCGACATTTGTGACGAAAGAGACAATCGACTTCGAGTAAAACTGACGTATACTTTTCAGGCATGTATGTTACACGGTAATAGGTATAGGGTATAGGTTAAATGTTTATAATAGAATAGGGACGGCGCGCAAAAATTGAGATCAGGTGTAACGTAAAAAAACGCCAAAAAAATCGAGATGTAGATTATTATAGCGATAGTAAAGATAATAATAAGAGATAATAACATAATGACATAGAGGATTACACACCATTTCACTAATTCTAACTTTAATACGTCAATTATGCTAATGCTGGTTAATAGGGCTGTGGTACATAGCAATTTCATTTTTTCAATGATATCTTCCCATCAAAAATGCAGCTGTCACGTGATCGACAAAAAACTTTAAGTTCGTTTATGTTGGGGGATGATGCTGAAACATGAAACAAACGCATTTGATTGGTTAGGGTTAGATGTTTCGCGATCATTCATGTTTCAGCATCATCCCCAACAACTAATATTAGAGGTTAAGGCGGTTTTTAACGTTTGGTTTGGAGGCTAATTTGACGTCGATCGTCACGTGAAAATGATCGGTCAATTTTCGTCCTACGATTTTACTTCGCCTTTTCGCCTTTAATTTCTCCCGCAATATTTAACATTTTTAAATTCTATAAAAGCAAAATGTTTAGTTTACCTCACTAATTTACAAACATAATGCGGGCCACATAATAAATCATTGGCCGGGTTTTTATAAAAATTTAATCTTTACTAACTTTTAAACCAATATTGTCGAAACTCTTAACGTGCTTTTTAATTTTACAAGAAGGCGCATTACTATGTAGCCGCAGTAAATCGTACGATAACGGACACTCAGGTGAGCCATGACATATTTCAATTAGAGATAAAATTCTAACATTATTACTTTATAAGGACATTTTTCATTATCAAATTTGATATTTAAAATCTTTTTTGGCATGTTCAACATCCAAGTATCCAAGTGTTCAAAGCTTATTTAAGTAATTAAAAAATCTATTTTAAATATAGGATTAATATATTTGTAACTATAGGTTACTATTGTTATAATTAAAAGAATCTTTATTTGTTAGTTAGAGTTAGAGTAAAGTAAAAATAGTATGCAGTGAAAAGATATATTTTATAGTAAAATTTAGCAAGAAATTTTTTGTTAAAATCCAAAGAGTAGCTTTATATACTCAATTTTGAGTTATAACTGATTTCTTTTGACAATTTTTAACAAAACAAATATTGGTTTGAATTTTTTTGGTTATACAGTTGAATCTCCTTAAATGCAACCTCTATAAATACAATACCTTCCTAAATGCATGTTTTTGTTTTGGCTATATGAAATCATTAGTGCTAAATGCATGTTCTATATTCTGCAAATGCATGTTTATTCAAAAGATTTTTATATCATACTAACCTCCTTAAGTGCACAGAAGTTAGTATTTAAGTTTGTTATACAAACCTGCAGATCAAATATTAAAAGTTGCAATTTGATTGGTTTCTTCTAAATGCAAATCTTTCTAAATGCATATTTTAGACTGGTCTATACATGTTGCATTTATGAAGGTTTAACTGTATTATATTATATCTAATTTTTAAATTTAATTAATTTTTATAGAATATAGCTATATTACAAATATATATATATTTTTACTTTGATGGCCTTATTACTGATCCTTTATTAAGATTAGTTTGTAAGAGTTTTTACAAAATATTAAGCTTAAAATTTAAGCTTGATGTTCTGTAATTATTTCATTAATGAGTTACATATAACTAAAGTTAATATTTGTAAGATAACCTTTATTATTTAAATACTTTTAGGTAACTATCATATCAAATTAATCATAATTTGAAATAATTTGTCTGGCTATTATCTTACAATAAAATATCATCAATTTGATAATATTTTTTTATAAAAAAATAAAAGAAATAGTATATTTGTAAACTGATAGCTAAATAGAAAAAGCAAATTATATATTAGAAAATATATTAAAGATTTATATTAACTATAAACAAGATAATTAAAAATGGATAAAGCATCTGAGACTTCTTGACTGACAAATGTACCGGAGATGTCTCGGTGACACAGGTTTAGCTGCATTACAGAGGGGTTAAACAG